GTAGGTGAAGTGTCTTGCCCAAGGACACAACGACCAAGACAGACAGAGCAGGGGATCAAACCGGTAACCTTTACAAGATGAGCTTCCCAACCCCCTGAACCAGTCGCCCATTTCTGTTATAAATGTAAAAGTAAATAAATGAATCAATCAAATTTTCCTTTTTTCCTGCACATTTGTCCTACAGTCAGCTATTTTCAGTTTATTAGCAGGGACAGGCCAGAAACAACTGATGCTAACATGACAACTTGTACCAAGGATCTGCACAGGCAGATTTAAGCTGAATGTATGCCAAGCCTGGACAAGAAGCCACAACCTGATGTCCAACAGGTAACAACTGCACTGATGAGCATTTGGACTTAGGACAGTAGCATCACTGTGAAGTGCTCCTCATTAGCACAGTGATATGTGGTGTGGGACCGCTTGCTGGTAATTATGCATCTTAGGCCATATTACCAATTTGTGCATAGGTAATGTAAAAAGTAGTGCAACAAATGACTTTCTCCTTGGAGCAGCCAAGTAATGTAAAGCAATACTTTTTCTGAGTGACAAACCTAATGCAGTTGTAGATAATGCTGCAAAATTTACATGTAACAGTTGTTTTTCTACTCTTAATGAGCACTTAAAAACTATTTAAAAATACAAGCCATGCTTAACCACACATGCATGCAGCACTTTTATTTCATACACTTTAAATAGCTCACATTTATCTTTAATTCAGAGCCACCAATTGACCTAACATACATGTCTTTGTCAACATGCAAGCATCACACAGAAAAGCCCCAGCTGACCAGAAGATTTGAACCAGTGCTAACTCAGTTACCCCATTATACATTTAAGCGTAATTGCTCAGTGTTAAGATGTTTCCCATTATATGCGAGAACACAAAGATCCAGCTTAGTTAGAGAGAGACATTAAAAGTTTCCATTTTAGTCTAACTGATTAAACTGTGCTCATGTGAAAAAAAAAAGCTGCTGGTAATTGTCTGGTGCATACGCAGCTCTACACAGGCGGTATCTTCGCCTAAAATTCTTGCCTAAGGAGTATTTCTCCTGCTGGGTGCTGCATTTGAGTTGGACAACATCTCTGTTTGAGTCTCCCGACACAGTTAGTGTGAAAACAGCTTGAATCAGCCATGCTTGCGGTACAGTTACAACCCCCCCTTAAAAAAAAAAGCACACACAGAGAATGTGTCTCTTTATAAAGATACCTCTCTGCCAGGTGATTTTTGAGGGGTCAAGATCAAGACGTACGAACGCGTTGATTTCTTCAGGTGTGAGTGATGCAGGATCTGTTTTCCTGATGCCAAGGCGCTGGAAATTGAGACAGACAACAAGATTTTGTTCCACATGTTTCTGATGCTGTTTAGATTTTATTTAACATGAAAGAAGCCTGCTATGTCCACCATAATAGGTGGGAGGTATCATTCATGTATAGGAAACAAATCCAGGCTAAATAACCAGGAAATTATTAACTCACTGTCAAGATCAGGTTTAGTTGGAGTTTTCTGCTTAAAAAAAAGCCTTTTAAAAATCTTTATCTCTCCCTTCATCAATTAAGGCTAATTTTATAGTCTTTTTCTCTAAACCTGGACTTCCTTGCAACAGGACATAAACTGTAAACATGTTCAAACCTTCATCTCCTGGATCAGTAACATCTGCCATGCATATTTTATCTGTTAGGACTAAATATTAGACATTCTTCATCAGCATTACATGAAGACTGAATTACTCTTTCTTCTACAAACAAGGAGTTTTATCTGGCATAAAGAAATGTTTGGTAAAGCAGCCAATGTGAAGGGTAAGATTGAAAATTTAAGCTGGATTCACAGAGGCCCCCTAGTGGACAAAAAACAACAACAACAACGACAACTTTTCATGAACACCCCAGACACAACCCTTAGTTAGTTAGTTCACGTGTGATCATGGACATCACGTGTGATTATGGAGCTGTAGTATTTAAACTTACTTGCAGCCTGGAGATCTGGATGGGTGAGAATTTTCTGACTCCATTCACAGAAGGGACTAATCTATTGAAAAGGGCCTTGGTGGTAAAGAAAACAAGAAAAACAATACTATTATTTAAAGTACATTTAACCGGTCCTTACAGGAGGAAAGGACTTTTGTTAAGCTGGAATTTAGATAACGAGATAGCATTATGTGCATGAAAAGCAGGATTACAGAAATAAATCAAATACTTAAAAAGTTACCACAGAATAATTTACAGTCACCGACTACAATAAATCTACAGCAAATCGCAAACATGACTGAGAGCAAAAGGAATCCATACTGTCATTATATTACACACGCATTTTTTAAACTAGAGTTGCTGTATGATATCTTTTCGCACAGCCACCTTGTCTGACTGCGTCGCTTCGTGGAGCATCCTGGCATCGATGGCTGCTGCCACCAGGTTATTGGCAGCTGTGATGGCATGAATGTCACCAGTCAAATGAAGGTTGAACTGAGAAGATTTTAAAAAAATAGCAGAAAAAAAAAAAAAGAACCCAGTGAGAGATGAAAGGATTACAGGCGAGACATCAACATGCTACTGCAGAAGTGTACACTCTGTAAGATTGATTGAATGGCCCCTAGGGAGAAAAAAACCGCTAACAATGGGGGTCAGTGGGCTGCACCCACAGCATTTGGTAGCAGATGATAAATGTGGGTTCAACTTACTAAAGCAATCTTCTCATGGCTTGGATTTTGTCCCTTGAGTCTTTAAATATATTATGACACATTTTCTCACAGTTTGACACAAGCCCTTTGATCTCAAGACATACAAATATTTTTTTTTTAGTGCGCCTAAAAGAAGGAGGCGTAAAGAAAAAGGGTGAATTGAGAGAATGAGAAAAGTAGTTGGCCTTATTGTAGCCTACAAGGCTGGGGCTTAACCCCTCGTTCTGTGTGTCTTTATGGACTGTGCTTGTAGTCACAGCTCCGTGTGTCTTTTTGTACAAACTACTGTGAGTCTTTGCATGCCTCAGGTCTTTGAAGCCTGCGTTTGTCCTGCTAGGGAACACTCTGAGCCTGTCTGTGTGTCTTACCTCCTCCATAGGGATGACCTGGGCATACCCACCTCCTGCAGCTCCCCCTAGGCAAAGGAGGAGAGGAAAGACTGTGAGAGGCAGGCAACAGGACGAGGACACACAAAGAAACAGTGCTGAGTGTTGGACTTTAAATGAACTGCTCCACCCGAGAACAAAATGTAGAGCTGACCTCACACTGACAAAGATAGCTAAACTTGTCCAAATGTCACTGAATGTATTCAGTAGAAATATTCACAATTTGAAACATTAAACATTGGTTCCAATGTGAAAATAAACTATTCTATCAATGTTTTCTTACAAAACAGGATTTTAGCGAAAACACTCATTGTTTTTGGAGAAAATAGTTTGGAATGACCAACAGTAAAGTAAAATAAAAAGGATCCAGATGAAGGAATGCAAAGGAGCACAGAAAGATGACAGCATATCTTTCAGAGAAGATAAGCCAAGTACAGTTAGCATAAAGACCCAAGTATTCATTGCTGACCTTTAACTCCAAAAGTTGGTCCCTGGGATGGCTGACGGAGACAGGCAAAAGAGTTGAGCTTAAGGTGGGCAGACAACGCTTGGACCAGACCAACAGTCACTGTGCTTTTACCTTCGCCCAGTGGGGTGGGAGTTATACTGAACAAAGAGAGAATACAGAAGATTTTCAAATATCACTTTTTCTGGTGTGCACAATATGACCCTGTACTGTGGAGTCCCTCAGGGTTCTATACTAGGACCTATGTATTTTCTTTGTAATGGTAATTTTGTACTATTCAAATAAACTTTATTATTATTATTATTATTATGAAGCAGGAGAAAGAATAAGAGAGGATTTGGTCAGTCACTCACCCGGCAACCAGAATATATTTGCCATTAGGCTGTGACTGGAGGCGTTCCAACACAGAGAGTCGAACCTTAGCTTTGCTCCTCCCATAGGCTTCTAGCTCTTCTGGTAGCAAACCAATCTCTTCAGCCAGCTGATCTACTGGTTTTGGTATCTGAGCTCTGGATATCGCTAAATCACTGACAGAGAAAACATATAGACTATATGGATAATGGCTCTACGCACCACATCTTATTCAAATAGCATTAAAATGAGGTATACAAGAATCCGGGTAAGATGAATGAAGTTAAATTCCAGTGTTCACCACACAGTGGTCTATACCTTGGTACAGGAGTTAAGGGCTGCAGTTTGAGGCTGCGCAGATGCCAGGGTCTGTATTCCTGACCCTTGAGCCACCGACTGCAACTCCGGACAACATTCTAATGGACAAAAAAGAAAAGAAAAGAGAAGGACAGAGAAAGCTAACGAATAAGTAAGGAAGAATATAGTAAGCCAAAGAGAGGAGTCACATGGGAATATATATACCTGTGTTCTGTAAGCTGCTGTGAGGCTTTCTAATCCAGATTTTGAAGACAATCCAAAAGCATTTTCATCTAAAACAAACGACAACAGGATTAATGAACACAATAAGTACACAAATCCATACAACAACAAAAAGCATGTGATAGTGGAAGCAAACCAGTGCATCTGAAACTGCAATTTCACTGATTTCTATTCATTTTTAAACAATAACTTTAAAAAGTGTCTCTGCAATGGAGGGCTTTAAAATCATTTCATGTTCATTATAGCACAAGTTAATTGGAAGCACAACATATAATGCAATACCTTTCTCCAGAGCTGGCTTACAGTAAATGATAGCAGCCCCTGGTCTAATCCAGGTGGGTGGAACATACATATTTCCAACATCTAGCAGGACCACAGCATCAGCCTGCATAACCTGGGAAAATGGAGAATTATTAAAGAAGAAGAAATTAAAATGATAATTAAAATAATGAAATATTAATGACCTAAAAGAACCTCTGCAGAAAAATGTCTTTGAGCATCTTCCCATTAGCAAAACTGCTCCAGTGAGCTGCTGGAAAATGAGAATACTGTCTCCGTGTGGCCAGCAACTAACACTACACAAGCCCGACATGAGATTTAAACCCATGTGTGTATACAAACTTCAAACCACAATTGTACATACTGAATGTTTAGTAAACTGGTTCTTAAATTGGACACCCTCACCCGCAGTGGGCCTTAGTCTACATCGCTCTCAAGCTCTCCCTCTCTGTTTTGGAGAACAAAATTTTAGGCATTTTAAGGATTAATTGGAACAACTTCTGGTTAACTCCTGGTTAAGGAGCTGGCACTCCTTATACATTAATTCATTACTTAGGACAGTGATTTTGACATAGGTAGCTTCTAAGGCACAATGCAGATCATCTAATGTGAGTATACCCTGTCACACCTGTGCCTGCAGGCTTTTGGAGCTCCAGTGACTCTTCAGAGTGACCATTCCACTTCGTTCAATCAGGCACTGCACAGCCAGCTGAAGGGGACCCTCTCCACCAACCAGCAACACAGTTTTTCCTTCCAAAGGAGCATCTGTAGGGATGTTTAAAATGATCATTCACGAGTGGAAATGCTCCCAGCTGCCGAGTCTGTCCATGGACTCCCTGTCAGGCTCCCCATTTAAATATATCTGAAGCCAAACTATTAAATAAAGGCAAAATATAAAAAATAACAATCTAAAAAATCTTAAACCAGATTTTTTTTTTTTTTTAATGTACCTTTAGCTTATAACATTCTACACAGAAATGTTCAACGTTTTTATTAAAGAGCTTGGAAATCTTTAGTAGTTGTATCAGAAGTACTGAAAATATCTAAACCCTGAAGTGTGCCTTCAACCAAAATGATCTAAGTCTGTATCTCATATGCACAGACCCCTTGTTCAGTAAATTACCAGCATTTTAAATTAAAAAGAAGCATCCCAGAAATATGGTCAAATCTTACCAAATTCAATGTCTTTCCTTCACCTTTTTATAATATAGTCATTTGGACTCAAGTACATTACGTGTTCACATATTTGTTGATATTTTTCTTGCTCATGTTTTCATTGTATTTTTTTAAATAATAAATTGGAAGATATTTTCTAAAGTCACAGTTGTCTTTACAATAACCACAGCAATGGTATCTTTTCCTGTTAGGTATCAGATCTCAGTAGTTAACAGTAAAGGATACTGATGTATTTTACAGTAAATTTAAAAAAGAGAAACATCTGTCACATTTATTAGTATATCTAATTTAATTTCTAGTGTTTATATATCATCCAGTCAGAGCACAGTGAGAATCACTTTGAGACCTCTCTGCATTATATCATACTTGTTATAAATCTCTGTCCTCATTCTCTCACCCCAACCGGTCGCAGCAGATGGCCGCTCCTCCCTGAGGCTGGTTCTACTGGAGGTTTCTTCCTGTTAAAAGCGAGTTTTTCCTTTCCACTGTCACCAAGGTGCTTGCTCATAAAGGGTCATATGATTATTAGGTTTTTCTCTGTATGTAATATTGTAGGGTCTACCTTATGATGTAAATATATGTCTGTGAAGGTTCTCAGTCTCAGTTTAGCTTCTGGAATAAGAGGTGAAACATCTTCAAGGAAACTTAAAGAAGTCCAGACTCTTTTCTTACAATATAAAGCGCCTTGAGGCGACTGTTGTTGTGATTTGGCGCTGTAAAAATAAAATTCAATTAAACTGAACAGAAATGTGAAAATATTTCAAGCACACTGGCTGCATTTAATTTCTTTTTCATTCACTCTGACACTTTTGGGTCAACTGTTTATATAAACTGTAATTTAATACAGTTGATTGGTTACACACACCAATGCAAATGCACTTAATCAGAACACTGACTTTCTCAAAAGTGATGATTTTTCTCACTGGCTAAAAATATGCTCCTACTCTATTTCTGGCACAAGGTGCATAAACCTGCACAATGCAGTTAAGGATGGCAGAAAGTCAGGCATATAATTGGTTTCTAAAGTATCAACTCAGTTTTAAAATTAAAATCTCACAGGAGACTTAACGTCTCACTTCTGACATGTTTCCTGTGTGCTGTGTGAACACTGTGTAAAGAGAGGAAAACCTTCAGTTTCCTTCAGCAGAAACTCACCATGGTTCTCCAGCAGATCCAAAACAGCACTAGCTAAAGGAGGTACAAAGCCTTTACTCAGGTCTCCTCGTATCAGACGGCCCATATTCAAGTCTGATATGCTACAACAAGAGAAAAACATAAAAATTTCATTTTTTTATTTAACCATCCAGTTTTACAGGCCGTAACAGACTAATAAAGTGCAATGGATAACACAATCACACATAATAAATGTTAAAGACACAGCACAGAACTAGCAAGTAACATATGAGGATATATAGTTTTCATCAGGATTAGGTTAAAAAAGTTTTCCATTAATCATCAGGAACATATATACTTTTCCTCTGGATAATCTATCCTTAACTGAACCAGATCTGATCAATTTATCGTGATTAAGAAGGGTCCCCTGCTAATTTTCTCATCACGTGTCTACACACACTGGGCACAAACGTCTTAATTGTGAGCAGTCCTTTCTGATTTGGGTCAATAGGACACGCACCGTGAGTTAATTCATTTATTTTAAATTGGTATAACAACCTTACATACATTTTTACATTTATAGAACTTATAAAATAAATGACTGAATATTTATGCCCCTCCAGGTTTTTACCCTTCGATGTCCTTCTCGGGTTTTAAGGTGTTGAGGACCCGACTGGTGATTGAAGCTGGGGGGAGGTGAAGGTAGATACCATGCACTTTGGGGTCATCATTCAACTTCAGCAACTCCTCTACAATCTACATGCATACATAAAGAGAACAAATAACAATCAGTGACACACATCTGAGAAATGTAGTGAAAAAATAGCAGACGAAACAAGTGTGAAAATATTGAAGATATACCAAATACAATCAGGTACTTTATGTGGTAGTCTACAAAAAAGTCAAGAGAGAAACAAACAGCACATGCACCTTCAAAATCTAACAAAGCAGCACTACCTAATGAGCACAGGGAAAGTGGTAGTGGAAATCCCTGAGGAGGTGAAAAACAGGAGAAAGGGGGATGAGATAATGTGTAAAAGTAGAGCAGCTGAGTTCTCCTAAGGCCAGGCATGGCACACATAGATCATCCACTGTCAGGTCAAATGTCTAAGCTATTCCCATGAATTCCTTCTGTCTACATGGTTCAAGTGACAGGCTCCAGCTGAGTGAAGAGCCAAGAAGGTTCCCCAAATCTCAGTTACATAATGCTGGAAAATATCACTAGGTAGGATAAAACCTGATGATAAATGAAGAATAAACGGGAAATACTGAAGACCTGAACACACAGGCACCATAATCACATGCTGCACAAACATGAGAACGGTAATCAAACTTTGAGGGGGGAGGAAGAGTTCTCTATTAAGGGGAAAATTAACTTGTGAGTCACATCGACTTACATCATCTTCACTGCACTCCTTTACCAGACAAATCTGAGTGATGTTCAAACCAATCTGCGGACGAGGAGATAGGAGATCTTTTGTAGACATTACAAAAGAACAAAATGGCCAAGCTGAAGAAGAGAAGTCAGAAAAAGGAGAAGTGGTGGCGTGGATTACCTTTACTGCCATTTTCTTATTGATCTCCAGCATGCTGTCGTCTTCACCTGCCTTTGAGATAAAATGAGCACACTGAAACAACGCACAGAACCCTGATAATATGGAAAAGCTAAGATGAAACTTCAGTAGAAACAGATACCCTCAAGGTCAGGAAATTAGGAGACTTCTAGCATCAAATGTTTAGGCTACGCTTTTTCTAAGCATTAACAACACTTAAAGACTGCTTACTACAAAATAAGACGGTGTATTTGCACTCATTTTTTTTTTGTTCTATAACAGTATTCCCTTACAGTACCTGTAGAATGGCTAACAAGGGTTGAATTGCTGGGTTTCTTTTCTGCAGAGTCACAATTGCTTCCCTGGTGCTCTGAACCACTTTCCTACAAGAGAAGACAACCTGGTTAGAAATACCCATTAACCTATTAATGGGTACACGCAGGATAAAACACCCCCATCAGGAAAGTAGATAATACATAATTAAGTTCAAATATGTTCATTTATATAACACCAATTCACAACAAAAACCACCTCAAGGTGCTGAATGCTGCAAGGTAAAGAAGCAGCATAACTATGGGGGGTTTATAACTACAGTGGCTTTGAGAATTCAGTGCAATGCAACAAGAAATCAGATGAAATGCGAGGAGGCGGCTCAGAAGAGAACGAACAACCGAACACATGAACACTGAGAAAGTACAGATAGTACACATACATGTGCTGAAACACTGAAAGCAGCACATGGTGTAACTAAATTTTCAAGCAATGTCTGCAGCAAACTATGGAGCTGATGAGAAGGTGGGAAGCAGTCAGGTGCTGTGTTTACTTTAATTCACAGACTAGCTTGTGAAATATGTGAGATAAGTATTGCTTAGGACCTATCAAGCCATCACTTTTTGTCTATTTGCAGGAATTTTCCTAATGAATTATGCATCAGGCTCTGTGGAGTAGAGTACCGTAGTAGTAATCCAAATATCAATAGTATCGAAACCAGAGCTTATATTGGTATTGGATCAACACTAATAAATTGTTGACCACTGCTCTCCCATACATAAGATGCCTTTAAAAGTTAAATGTATCTGTATCAGTATTGGTATATGCAATATTGGCCCTACATTTACTTGGTATCGGATTGATACCAGAATTTGTGGTATGGAACAACCCATGGTCGTTTTCAGTGCGCATGCGGCAATATGCGGGCGGGCGGGGAAAAATGTTTACGTATACCTTAACAAATACGTTAAAAGTCCAAAACTTTAAAGTTAAACTTTAACTGAATAAATCCTTTTTGCTAATTTTCTTCACACTCAATACAAGTGTTATAGATCTGCATGCATTTAAATGTTAGCAGCAAAACTAGTTAGCATCAGTCATCCACGCCTGCGTGTTTTTACTCGGTTCCTCATGTGTCGCATGTTTAGCAACAACAGAAAAGGGTTGCATCAGCTGGCTGGTGTCTCTGACACCCTAACCCGGGGACACGTGCGGAACTGGCTACTAGCCAGGGGCCAAAACGCCGGTGAGACCGGAAATGCTTACTACCTTTGTCACGTAGATAACCATCCCTCCAACGAACTTCGTTTTTTTAGCTAGCCGTTAAAACAATTTGTCATGACACACCACAATCAGACTTTTACTCTACATTGTTGTTGCTGCTGTTGTTATTTTACCTCACATGGTTGTCGTAATCAGACTCATCCCCCTTTTGAGATTGTACCCCAAAGTTACCGGTTAACTTCGGGTTGGTGCCGGTGCTGGAGGTAGCGCTTGCCGCTCGGAGGCTCAATCGACTGCTGGTAATGCCTATCGGTAGGCATCTTCGCGAAAACCCGGTGAATCTGCTACCCGGACGGACCTGATGTGCCCGGAGACTCATGTAAGCACTGCGAATAAGCGCCAACTTCATTGTAGTTTTATGTTTAAAAAAATAAACAGGACTAAAAAGTGTTTCTTCTCCTTTCGTCTCTGGTGGCGGTGATTAGCCCGGTTCCTTGAAAGGAACAAAAAGAAAGTTGAGGTTGCAACAGGGTGCTGATGGAGGTGCGCTGTCTTCACGAGCAGTCGGAAAGATGAAAAACTAGCGGTCGGTGTGCTTTGTTCCCCCCCCCCCCATCCTCCCACCCACAAATGGGCAATTCCCATAGAAAGAAAGGTCTTTTAAGACAACACATTGCGTTTAGGAGTGACATATGGATACCTTGTTGTTAGTGTGTATATGCCTCCGCAATATTTTGATTATCTAATAACGTGTGTAAACGCATTTGTTTCCTTCCTCCAAAGTCACTGGTAATATGAAAGACTGTTTGAATAAGACAATAAATGCTACATTTCTTGCAAGTCTAGATGCTGTTATTAAACCAGCATTTTAAAGTCATATGTTTTCATTTGAAAATCCGGGGTACACTTGAAAGCAGCAGCCTAACAAGAAGCGAATGCTCGCGACTACGCGAGTTCACGTGCTGAAGACCCTGAGAGGAGTTAGGTCATTGGGTTCGAAATACACCTCAGTCGGTAAGTTAACATATCCATCCAACCCAATACAATAATGTAAGTGAGTAAAACTATATTTAGTCTCAGGCTCATTAAGAATCAACGTTTCACTCACTCAAACATACCTATTCACAGGAGGCCAAACAATCAGTATTAATAATCATTGCCTCAATTCATATGTCGTATTAGAATACTTTAAAACCAGGTTCCTTATCAGCAAACGCGTGTCAATATACTCCTAAACCAGAGCTGGCACTCTTCATTTAACAGCATGTGATAAATCAGGCTTCTATACACAGCGTGGGTTGGTGGCCTAAGTTGAACTGGTAAGTTTAGCGACATTCCTGTTCCCTATGATTGAAGCGTAAACCCTGATTTTATCTTGAAGTCATGTACCAATCGTGCAAATTTGATGTGTGTCCAAAAGACTGCAAGTAAGGGATTTGGCAGAATATTAAAGAAAACTAATGTATCTATATATAAAAAATCTATATAAAAATCTATATATAAAGAGAATGCGTCTAATCTAATAGAAATTCCAGTGAGACCGGGTTTCCCCTTGTGGTGCAATAATAGTTCAAAAGATGGCGATAAATATACTATAGATAAGAAACAGTTAATATGCATTTTACAGCAGGAATGTTCATCCAAGTTTAAAGTTCTTATCTATGCTCGTACACCCCTTCCTACATCAACTATCCAGATAAGAAAACATAGTTTGTCTATGTGTGATCAACAAGCACCTAAGCTGTGGTAAGTTGTGGTTGATTTTGGAGTCAAAAAATGAGGACAGTGCTACAAATGCCTCCAGCAGACTTGACCTCCTCAAAATAGTAAAACCGTCGCCAAATACAGGGGTTGATTTAAACCTAACTAAATTGCTAAGGGGCATAACTAAGTGTGTAGTAGTCAGAAGAATTTAAAAAAAGAAGAAGAAGCTACTAAAATCCAAACTTGTTTGTGCATGTAGTTGTGGAAGTCATTTGGGTGTGGCTAACACACAAACTGCACAGACCTTGTCCTGCCTACTCTCAAAGTGTAGGCTGCCCTCCCCTGGTGGCCGTGCAGATGAGCCGTGGCATCATTTTATTTTCCAGCCATTTAATTAATTAAATATTACAATCAAAATTTTTAAAAAGTAATTTAAAAAGATCGGTTTAAACTGCGCATTATCTAAATTTCTCGTACCCATGTCTGATCCAGAACCATTTTATTTCTTTTGATAATTTGGGATTTGTAACTGATGGGAAATCTCATTGTGACAGAGACTCAGAGGATCAGGGGCCAGGAGAAAAGCTGCTGATGGTGAATCAACCGGTGATTCACCAGATTGTGTGTGGGAACAGAGAAAGTCTGGTGTGTTGATTTAAAGTCTAGGTCCAAGTTTATGTTTACAAAGCTGTCCTACACAACTGACGCTCCTGTGGTGCAGGTCAAGGTTGAACTGATCTGTCTTCATTCCTAAAGTCACATGACTGTGACTGAGTGTCACAATTGTGCACCCTGACAAAAAGCACAGCAGATTTTCAGTTTTTACCTCACAGCCTGCAGCACTGGTAACACGTGGGACTGTTTTTTGTGCTCACAGTCCGGATTAGTAGACTTCAGATGATGGCCAAAGTTTGATTTGTAGAGATAAAGAGCAAACGGGTGAGGATCTTTCCTTTAATCTTGTCACTGTGCGCATGATTATTTGACCTTGTTGTATATGAAATGGTAACAGTGGGATTTTGTGGTTTGACAGAAAGTATGGGTAACTTATGAAATTACATGGTGATCGATACTGAGCACAGGAGGCAGTCATTTGTATGAGATGTAAGAAAAGATCAGATATATCTAAGTTATCATTTCTTCTAAAATATTTGGGGTTTTTTCTTAGATTTTATAGCGTTGGAACCATATATTTGTTGTGTAGCGCCAACGACTGAAATGCCTCTTAATGCTGTCACAAGTGTACTTTATGCATTGGAAATATTGAGGCTGTTTATATGCAGAATCTAAAGCTCGGTTTTTAAAGTCAAAATGAATCTCTCTTTGGTGAAAAGGAACATTGTTGACTACTCTTTGGATAACCTGTTAGGCCAGTGATTGGTGGTGGGTGGATTATACTTGAAGGAAGAAGGAAAACTATTTTCATCAGATATGAGAAGCAAGCAAGGTGCCAAGTGTGTTTAAATTCAAACATAAATGGTTCACCTACTTGAATGAATTAGCTTTACTAATGTTTGTTAAGTGAATAGAAAATCATCTTGACCTCTATAACCTTCACTTGATCTCCAGATCAGCCATGAGGGACAGACTGAGCCACCTGCAGGAAGTCTCCGGCGGCCCTGTGGAGCCAGTGGAGAATGCAGACTCCACTCTCTCCAAGTCCCTCAGCAAAGTCGACCTGGACAACAGCCCTGCTCTGGCAGAAATCTTTACCCAGGCAGAAGGGCTCCATAAAGACATCCAGCTCATCCGCCTGGAGGTTAAAAGGCTTCGTGAGCAGAGCTCCTGCATGTTCCATGGCACCTCTACTATTAAAAGGGACTCTATTGGAGCTGACATAAAGACGCGGGCTGAGAATGTTCTAGCACGCCTGCGTGACATGGATGGCATGGCGTGCAAGCTAGAAGAAAAACATGGTGCCAATTCTGCTGTGACGCGTATCGCCAGAACCCAGTACGCCTGCCTCAGTAATGGCTTTCGCGATGCGATGTTTGATTACAATGAGGCCGAGATGAGCCACCGTGAAAGCTGCAAAGCCCAGATCCAGAGGCAAATGGAGATAGTTGGGTGTGAGGTGACGGGAGAGGAGGTGGAGGAGATGATTGAGAAAGGTCAGTGGAACATCTTCAGCAATAACGTGGTGACTGATGGCAGAACGGCACGTTCAGCTCTCTTCCAGGTTGAGAAACGTCACCAGGAGCTGCTGGACCTGGAGAGACGCATCAAGGGCATCCATGAGATATTCTTGGACATCGCCGTGCTGGTAGAGGAGCAGGGCAACATGCTGGACTCCATCCAGACCAACGTTCAGAAAACCGATGAGGGCGTGCAGGATGCTCTCTTTAAAATTGGCAGGGCCAAACGCCATGACCGCAACAACCCATTCAAAAGAATATTTAAAAAGACATAGCAGCTGAAGACACTTTTTGGTTTTTAAGCTGGCTCAGTCTCATCATGTGAGGGATTTGCTATTAAAGCTAATTTTGACTCCTCCCACATTCACAAAGTGTCACCATAGCGGATGCTTGATTTGGCTATTTTTTTTTTTTCAATGTTTTGTTTTTTGTCGGATACGCTTCCTGTTGCAGCCCCAAGGGGATTTGTCTAATTTGTGTCTGATGTTTTTTGTTTGTTTTTTTTAAACTGTGACTTTGAGAAATATTTTTTTCCAGTTTCAGAAAAGAGATAAAACTCAATAAAATATCTGCTGTAGCTGAAGAAAGGCTGAATTATTCTTCAATTATTTGTAGTCTGACTGAACTGTTAAACTTCTTTGACTGGTTTTCAGAAGCCTTTCATCCAGACCCCTGAAAGGGAGGCAATAATACAGCATTTTAACAGAGATTTAATTTTATATAGGTTATGCAGGGATTACACTACTTATGCACTAATCTGTTTTACTGTCTTTTAATTACTTTTTAATATTAAACGTTTTGTTTTATTCTTGTGTTCTGTGCCTTGTCTCTAAGTAAATATGTTGAAATTTTTAACATATTTGTTTAAACATATAATCCACACAAGCTCATTTAAAAATTGACTAGATCTACTACACACATTTTACTTTAAGTCACTCTTAAAGAGGCAGACACACTGTTTGCTTTTTCAGGCATCTCTGAAACAGTAAAACCTTTAGTAAATACTGCCTATAGATTTACATTAATAAAGCACAACAATATTGTTTATTAGTTTTTATTAGTTTCGTATGTTTATTAGTGTGTGTATATATAGTGCTTGAATGTCTGGAACCTAACCAACCTGTTAATGGACATAATTTATTGTGTGTTCTAGTCAAGGTACAGTGCAAGAAGCTGGTAAAACCACACAAGTCTGATCTCTCCTGCACAAACACAAGCCGGTACTGTGTAAGTCATTTGGGCGTGGCTGGGAAAATCTTGACGTGAGCTAAAATCAGCTCAGGCTTCACTCACTCATCTCGGAAACTGTCAGGTAGCCTACCGCGGCTTTTAGATATTATGGCAGTGGTTGGCCAAGTGTCGCCAATGCGTTTTTAAGCGCAACCCCCTTAAAAAAAGGTGACCTCGAAGGTTCCGTGCCAACAGTTTTGCTTAATTGTACAATAAGATAGACGCCAAGTTGCATTTGGCACTCGAGTGTTACACACCCGCTGCTCACACCTTGGCGTCACTGCAAACCAAACCGACCGGGCTTCATTCCTCAAGTCACATCTCATCGCAGTTGTATGGCGAGGCGCAGTTGGTCAGCTTGACAAAAAAGAAATAACACAGTAAAATTCCAGCTTTAGTTCCAGATATAGCAGCGTTACGCGTGTAGGGCCCATTGTTGTGCTCACGGCCCGGAGCAGTCGACATCAGAGCAGGAGGATGCTGCTGAGGCACGGCGGCCACCTGACAGCAACGTACAAACTTTGATATCTGTGGACATAAAAGCGAAACAGGTGAGGATCCTTCCTTTTATTTTCACGAGATTATTTCATCTCGTTGCTCATGAACGGCGAAGGAAGATGAAGTTTAAGTTATGGCCCATCAGACAAATGAAAAGTGCTTTTAAATTTGTTTTTGTTTGGGGTTTTTAGTAGTAAACGAGATTTATCGTAGTAGAAATAGACACTGGCGTGACATATACACAGCCTAAAACCATGTCCATACATTTGTGGAAAAACGTACACCTTTCTTCCACAATTGTTTAATTTTTTTTTTTTTACTATTCTCGTTGTTATTTTACATTTTTATTGTACTTTATGATACATTGTGCCCAAATCAAAATATTTCCTAGATTAAAAAAACTCGGAATATTGAAACAATGAGTTAAGTGTTGAATACGTCTACCAACAAAACAACAACATGATGATAAGGACCACATGTATTTATTTATTTATAATACACATTTAATCCACTAGATTGCATCTTAACTGGAAAATTGTATAAAGGCTGTTTTGATCAATGATATAGATTATCAGTTATTCTCAACTAGAAGCAGTGACAAAATCAGACAGGGCAATCAGGACGGGAAGGGTGTAGTGGCAGTGCCAGAAATGCCTTTAAATTATGTCACCACCGTCCCTTTTTCACACTATAAAGATCTTTTACTTAGACTGCTTCTCAGACTCTGACAAATAATTCTGTCTGTGAGATTTTAAAGTCAAAATGAATTTAGCTACAGAAAGATCCTAAGTTGAAGGAACTAGTTTGGTAGGAAGGAACACCTCTTACTATTCTTTAGAGAACCTGTTAGGCCAGTGATTGGTGCCGGGTGGATTATATGTAAAGGAAGAAGGAAAATATTTTTAACCTGGTATGAAACAGGTTAAAAGACAAGGTGTGAAGGTGTTTAATTATGAAAAAAAAAAGGGGGAGGGGAGGGTCTTGAGTTGCTTAGTGCTGCACTGTTGAGAAAGGCCCCTCTTTATTTAGTCAGCTTTACCATTGTATGTTAGATCAACAGCAATCAGAGAGAGAGAAAAACATCTTGACCTCTAACCTTCACTTGTTCCCTAGACCAACCATGAGGGACAGACTAACTGACCTCCAGGAGCTGTCTAGCGGCCCCATGGAGCCAATGGAGTATGCGGAGTCCGTTATCTCTGACTCCTTCAGTAACGTTGACCTGGAGGATGAGTTGCCTCATGAAGCAGTGGTGTTTAGCGACAACAGCCCTGCTCTGGGCGAAATCTTTACCCAGGCACAAGGTATCCACAAAGACATCCAGCTCATCCGCCTGGAGGTTAAGAGGCTTCGTGAGCAGAACTCCCGCATGTTCCAAGCCACCACCACCATGAGCACCATTAAAAAGGACTCTAACACTATTGGAGCTGATATCAAGGCGCGGGCTGAGGATGTGCTAGCACGTCTACATAAAATGGACGACATGACGCAGAAACTAGAAGAAACGCACGGCACAAATTCTGCTGTGACGCGTATCGCCAGAACCCAGTACGCCTGCCTCAGTAATGGCTTTCGCGATGCAATGTTTGACTACAATGAGGCCGAGATGAGCCACCGGGAAAGCTGTAAAGCTCAGATTCAGAGGCAAATGGAGATAATGGGGCACGAGGTGACGGGAGAGGAGGTGGAGGAGATGATTGAGAAAGGTCAGTGGAACATCTTCAACGACAACATCGTGACTGAAGGCAGAACGGCACGCTCGGCTCTGTCCCAGGTTGAGAAACGGCACCAGGAGCTGCTGGACCTGGAGAGCCGCATCAAGAGCATCCATGAGATATTCCTGGACATCGCCGTGCTGGTAGAGGAGCAGGGCCCCATGATGGACTCCATCCAGAACAACGTTCAGAAAACCGATGCTGTCATGCAGGATGTCCTCTTTAAACTTGGCAAGGCAAAACGCCACGACAGCAACAACCCGTTTAGAAAGATGTTTTGCAGCTGTTTTCCGTGCGTCGACTAATCGCTACAACAGGATGACCCGGCAAAGACGATGCCAGCTAGCTCTTAGGATATTCAAAATGTTCGACGTGTCACGAAAATGTTATTTTCACAATAATTTATCATCACGGTCTTTGTAGTTACTGCCTAATATTTTCTCGGAGAGTAAAATAAAGGTTTGAGGAAAAGGGTTCAAACTGCTTGGTTTAAATGCAAAAATTCTTGGGTTAAACTTCATAAAACTATTTATGTAATTCCTTGATTTTTAATGTCTGTAGTAAGGGTTTGAGACATAACCTGCGTCAAATAACAATGACCTAGGCACGATGCATACTTGAAAACAAACGGTACGTGAAGGTATTTTTCAGCTTGCTCAGGTTACACATTTACTAATAAGTAGCTTTCAGATATTTTCATACAATTTCTGAAAGTTCCATTAAAATAACCTTGAAGAAATGTTTGGTTTGTCACTACACATCTTAGCACCAATACCATGGATGTTGTGGTTGAAGTAAAACAACATCGCTAACGAAGCAGTTTAACAGGGAACTTCTGCAGGGATTGTACTTGTGATGCACCATGCACACTACCTTATTTTGACTTCTGTATATTAAAATGTTTTTGTCTGTCTTATGTGATTTCTCTTACAAGTAAATATAAAATATATTAAATCTAATAGGTGTCTGGGTTTATTTTTTTTAAACATACAATTCACATTAACACTAACATTTTAGAAGGCCTGCTATGTTCTTACTCAAACACACAGAAAACTGGAGAAAATCTGGACTTCCAGCTCAATGACAGCTGCTCTTTGTCATGATGCGTATAACGCCATTAACCAGTTGTTTAACCAGTTGTTTAACCTGCACACAGGTGCCGTCACAAAACAAATAAAGCTGCTTATTACGTGTTTTTCAAGACGTCTAGTCAAATCCCTTTGTTTTCTTGTTTGTTTCCTTAAATTTTCATTAATTCTTGTTTTTGGGCATGTCATTTACCAGGAATGCCTTCTTACTTAATCCATTTGCTTGATTCGTGAGTTGAAACAGTACTCTAGGAGGTATTATGTGTCGCAGTGGGAAGGCTTAAGTGAGTCACCTGTTAAGGGGCCGGCAATCACACACAATGCTGAAAAGAAAGTAGACGGCCAACTTCCTTCAGTAGATTAAATACATACTTGCTACAAAAATGTCAAATGAGACAAGCTGAAAGGATTTACTTGCCTTTTCTGTAGCGTGGTGGCCGTTTAAAGAAGGTAAGATCATTTGATTTGTGAGTCTAATGATTTGGGTTTTTTCATAGGAAAAGTGTTGCCACCTGGAGGCAACTGGATAATTGATGGGACTTGCTGGCTATTTAGTTTGGGCTCCACTCTACAGGCAACTCGAGGGGAAGATATGATTTCTGAAGACTTGTTTAAGTCTTTTATTTTTAATTGAGACAACTTTTGAAGTGAATGTTATTCATTCGAACGGTACGGAATAAGGAAATTGACTTTCTGAGCTTATGACAGGAACTTGATGAAAAGATACCTGCCATCCAAAAGCACTGCAACTTGTGGAGTTGACAGACCTAACGTAGAGAAAGTACTTGGATAAATCCACAAACCACCATCTTATTGCAAAACCTCAATTTAAATGGAAAAGTCTGCTTTAGGGTGAGAAGGTCCTTGTTCCTGGTTTAAATTGAGAAATTCCTGTTGGTCACTTAGCTGTGACTGCTGACGGGAAAAGGCTACTGAAGATAAAACTAAACTTACGCGCATCAGTTACATCATCAGTTTTTAAAACAGTCTTTCTAGATGGCTCTTAAAGTTCCCCCCTTACTAAATTAACAAAGCACAATAATTTACAGCCAAGTGATCAGATTACTCTGTTTCATGTGTGTCATCACTTTGAAGAATGTTCATGATAATCATTTTGAATTATGGATTTTATTTATTATACCTTTTACTTCTTTTTTTAATACACTGGTCTCTCAGGCAGAATGCAGGACAGGTTGGAGAGGCTGCAGACCATTAGAGAGGAGCAGGAGGAGTACGAGCCCGAATTCTATGGGTTTGAGTATGATGTAGACAAGGGAACTTTGTCTCATCAAGCGGTAATATTTGAGAGCTCCTCAGCTACTGAGGTCATCCTAAAGGAGGCTGAGTTAATACGCAAGGAGATCTCCCTGCTCCACTTGGAGGTGGCACGTCTGCACGCCCACAATGAACGATTTGGCACCTCTGTGCGCCGCCTGACCCTTATTAAAAAGGATTGTGACTCCATTGCCAGAGGGATCCAACAGCGGGGGGAGGCTCTGTACGCCCGTCTACAGGTCCTGGGTAAACGGAGCAAAGAGCTTGAGGAGAAAGAGGGCGCCAACAGTGCTGTTAGTCGCATTGCCCGTGCTCAGTACGAGTCACTGACCTGCGCCTTCCACAGTGCTATGACTGACTACAGTAAGGCGGAAGAGGTTCAGAGGAATACCTGCAGGGTGAGGATCCAGAGGCAGGCCTCAATACTGGGGAAAGAAATCACTGATGAGCAGCTGGATGCGCTGGTGGACAAAGGTGGTGAGGGCTGGGCGGAGCTGTCCCAAGGCCTTCAGAATCAGAGTGTACGCTCTTGCCGCACTGCGTTGTGCGAGATCAAAGGCAGACACAAGGACCTGGTGGAGCTGGAGGCCAGGATGAAGGAGATCCACGAACTGTTCCTCCAAATGGCCATACTAGTGGAGGAGCAGGGATCCATGCTCAATAACATTGAGGCTCATGTGTGCAACACTGTGGAATATATTGAAAAAGTCCACGTTCATATGAAGAAGGCCATACAGTACAAGAGGAAAAACCCTTTCCTCCAGTGTTGCCCCTGTCTACTGTGCTGGAAAAACGACCAAACTTTTTAGGACTGTGTTTGACGTAAATGATTGAAATTCTGATTAAACATTTAACTATTTGCGTAAAAGATATGGAACTAAACAAAAAGGAAAAAGTAATGTGGAATATTTTGATGAAAGACGATGGCACTAAGTGCACTGAAGACAGTTCTTCCCTGGGTAGAAACACAATGTATTTCTGTGAAAGGGAGTAATTTGTAAGCTCAAAATTTTTCAAATTACAGATAATGTTATGATCACAGAATTTACCCCTGTATGTATTTGAGAGAAGTTTTAACAAATTGATGTTTTAAGTTGAGACTGTTATCGTGTTCAGTGATGCACAAAATAAACTATAGCTGTAGGAAAAAAAGATCGGCTAGTTTTTCCAGATTCTTTGAGTCTAAGTAAGCGTAAAAACATTTGACACCCAAATGATCCAGACATAATCACAACTAACAAGAGCTGTACTGTGTAGCTTTTAACTAAATGTCATGTCAGACTGAGATAAAACTAAGTTATATCAGTAAGAGGTGCAGTGAGTATGATGTAGACAAGGGGACTTTGTGTGTACATTTCTCTTATATTACACTGGCCCAAGATTATTTTGCGTTAATGTAACAAAATGATCTAATCCATTAAGGTTTTATTTTTGGTACTTCTGCTAATCTGTAAATTTATGTTTAGATTTAATATTTAAAATGAGCACTGGGGTGGGGAAGAAAGATGATATGGATTACTTTAAATGTGGCATGATTGTTGGTGTCAAGTAGACAGACTATTCTGTGTCTTTCAAGAACTGCTGATGTACTGGGATTTTCACACACAACTACCTCTAGGGTTTACAGAGAATGACACATGATGGAGAAAATATCCAGTGCGTGTACTTTTCTGGGTGAAAATGTCTTGCTGATCCCACAGGTCAGAGGAGAATGGCAAGACTAAGAACAGAAATGGTAAACGGAGGCTACAATCTGTACCTGCTTACTAATAGAAGATCAATAGAAGATTGGAAGAATTGTTTGGTCTGATTAACCCTCAATTTCTTCCACAATATATGGTTGGTAGGGCAGAATTTATGGTGAACAACATGAAAGATTGTTCCATCCTGCACGTATCAATTATTCAGACTGCTGCTGATGTAATCAACTAATTCCATGAAGAATTGAAGAAGTTATGAAGGAAAAAGAGGGGTTCATGTTAATACTAGCAAGGTGTACCTAAATGGTGAGTGCATATTTGACATATTCAAGCTTCCATCAATCATTTTCTTCAGCTTATCCGGTCTGTTCAGCATCCTAAGCTTTAAATGTAATATTTAGATGTACCTATTAACACTTAGTATTTCAATTTAAATTTCATTTTTGAATGTAAGATCGAACATTAGCTGTTATTTGAAGAAAAAAAAATTGCTGGAAATCTGCTAAAAATGAGAAAAACGCACCCTGAATCTTTGTATAATATTTGGAACTTTTTGGAATTAAATCCTGTAGTTATTTCAAGAATAGCTCAGTGCACAAGACAAGGCAACAACAGCCATGCGAATAGATGCAGTCAGTTTCTACTCCACAAACTGTTTAACAAACTAGATGCCAAACTGAAGTTTCCTATCTCGGCCATTTGGAGTCAGACTGTGTGCACGTCTAACTGCTTTTTGCTTTTTAAAACTATGCATAATAGCTTATGTATGATCAAAATTCAAAGTATAATTTCCGCACCAGTTAGCAGTATTTAGATTTTATTTTCAAAACAGTTTAATCTCAAAATAACATTGCGAGTTCAGTCTCGAAATTTCATCTTTATGGTCAAAATGAACAATAATATTTATTTTTTTCTTAATGTGGCCCTATACTATAGTTTTTTTGTTTTCTTTTTTTTTTCGTTTTTCAAATATAGAATGAAATATCCCTGATGGCGGCTGTCCCGTTAATGCCCCACTCACTCAGATCCACATACACCTAGCAAGACTAGCTGTCATTCAGTCTCCGAAGTTTCTACGGACTTTATTTGGCAACTTATTCTCCGTGACTTCGTAATTTAGAGATTTGTTGTGCGGTATCGGTGTTTCGCTTTGCTTCGAGGTTTTGTTTGGCTGCAATGTGTAGCTAAACACGCTACTGTGTATTTACAATATAGAAGTTGTACGCCTGCTATAACTTCTGCTACGGGTTAGCATACGCTAATGTTATTATGCGGGTTCTAATTTGAGAGAGCGGTTCACAGGAATTCGAATGGAATGGAAGCAATTAACCCAAGTATGCGAGCTGGTATATATATGTATGTGTGTGTGTGTGTGTGTGTGTGTGTATATTTTAGTTTTTTTTGTAAATACAAGCCACCTTAAGGATAGCGGTAGTTTTATTTCAAGCTTTTGAGGTCGAGCTTGTCGTTAGCATGACAGTAAATGACTTAGCTGCTAGCTACTAGCAGCGGTAATGTCAATTGTTTAGACCAGTATGTTTGTTTGCTATTGTTTATCTCGTCGGCTTACGCTGCTATGCATTGCTAGCTTCGTGCCAATTTGATGACTAAGTCTAGAATACATAATGATTAACGGTATTTGGATGTGTTGAGTTTTACAAGTGTGGGGATGCGTTGGGGTACGGTGTATATACCAGGATGGCCGAGTGGTTAAGGCGTTGGACTTAAGATCCAATGGACATATGTCCGCGTGGGTTCGAACCCCACTCCTGGTAAATTTATTTTGTTGATGTATTGGAAGGTTTGCGTCACATAACATAAAGGAAGAAACAGTTCTGTTACATTACAAGCGAGACCGAGGCAAAACAGAGAGCACTGATGATAAAGAGCTTATAGTTGCAGATGTGGTAGCTGCGTATGCATCGTCTTGTATTATTTCCACCGAATACAACAATTTCAGCTCCGTTTAAAATTGCACTTTTTAACAGTTCTCACATTTTATAATTAGTTATTTAAAAAATACACATTTTTTTTCAGCCAATTTCTTTTGATAATAACAGTTTTCCTCTAAGTTAACAGATTTGCAGCAGTCTATTAGTAATAAAACGGTGCTGAAAATCGCGGGCGCTAAAATAGTGTTGTTTTACAAAGCCAGCCGCCAGCTTGCGGTTAACCCAGGTATCCAAACATTACTTGTAGAATTAGGAAGGTTGGTTTAAATTCTGATTATCCGTCTGATTATTACTTGTTTAAGGCGTAACCCGACGTGCACCACTCTAGAAATGCAGCTACACCCCCATTGACGGAACTCTTGTGACTGGCTTGTTCGGTGAGGTCGTTTCCTCTTGTGAATTTCGCCGCAGTTTTTGGATTTATCAGTGAAAGAATAACAAGAATTATCTCAATATAAGGTATAATAATCATAGCGTCAATATAAAAACTCACAAAATTAGTCAAATTAATGCAAGGAGAAACTGAAACTGAGTGAGTGAATGTACAAAGTAGTGGAAAAACTGAGGGACAACAGAGGCAGCAGAAATTGCAAGAAATATAACTAAATATAATGTAGGTGCAGTTAACGCAGAGTCAAAACAGGTAATTTCTTTATAACTCAGGATTGGGAAATCCTGTTGATTACAGTCTATTTACCAATATAAGTTTAGTAGTAGTGATATAAGATATTAGACATAAAAAATTGAAACATCAGAAATAACTTTTTGGTACACCAGCAACGACGTCTGTAAATTACTTAGGATATACTAAGATTCTCCACAGGAGTTTAAAACTAGGTCTTAGCAAAGCACATTGCATTACTAAATCTTTCAGGAGTAGTTGCGTGATTAGGACAGAAGAGGGCACTTTAACGCCTTCTTGTAGTTTCTGGGCTGGAGTCCAGCACTGGCCCAGAGGAGGCCTGCACACACTCACCCCTGTAATTTCACAGCCAGGGCGATGCCTTAGATCCATCGATACCCAGTCATCTGCATATGCCACCGGAAAGGCTTGACAGAAAATAGCTGCAAGCAGTACTCAACAGTTTGGTGCACTGTAGTCATGCAGCCTTATAAATACTTCTCAACTTCACAAACATGGTGAGTGTGTAACTATGAATCATGTTTAGCAAATTGGGGTAAATTGAGGAAGAATTACTGTGTGTAAAAATCGCTAATGGGGCCTTACATACTAAAGATTTCCTGGTCTTAGACCATATTTTGTCCCCTTCCTCCCTCTTTTTTTTTCACTGACAAACGCATATGCTGTCACTTGATATGTTTTTGAGGCATTAATAGAGCACTGATTTGTGAAATTGAGCCTCTTCTTTAGGCTGCGTGAGGAAGCATCCACAAAAGAGGCCCGACAACTGAGACGCAGAGGGAGAAGGATGAGGGCATACAATGGGAGATCAACATCTCAACATCACCCAAAGCCTCAGAGACTTTTTCTAATGGGGTCTAATCTATTATTCAGTCCCCTCAGACACGGGAAAAGTTGTTGTTTTCAGGCCGACATAACTCACTATCACAACATGAAACCTGAGACATCAGGGGTGGAGGGGTGTGTATGGTAACGATTGTTGCTGTTGTATGTATTAACTTTCTTATTATTTTTTCCATTTAAGCCGTGGCCATAAATAAGGGTTTGATTCTTATTTTACTTGTCATCATTTATGTTTTAAACTTGATTATCTGTTTGTCTTCCTGTCTTGTTTTGTTTGTAGTTGTGTATCAAAGCTGCTATATGAATAAAGTTGGTTATTGAGGAGAAACCTGTTTTGTGTGTTGATTGAAAAAAGCAACATATGTTTTGTTGGAGCTTTGCTGGTTGTAATTTTGAATTAAACTAGAAAAAAAACCCACACAAACACACATTTTGGGAATTTTACACTGTACCTGGGTGCCCAGTAATTCCCAGGATTTGTTTATGGGCTGAAATACTCAATAAAGTGATAAGCAGCCAGGTGTGGAATGCAGTTACTCTTTCTAGGAAGTGCATCTTTGGGGTACCTGTCCATTTCTATGAATCTTATACATTCTGTCCCTCTTCCTTTTACATGACTGTACTTACTATTTCGCTGAGTCATCATTTCCTTTTTGGTAAAGCTTATAATTAGGGCTGGGTCAGGTGACCCTGAAGCATATCTTAGTTATTCTGTTCTAGACTAAGGTTGCTGGGGTACTTCCTGTGATCCATTCAGCATTTCTTCTCTAGATTTCTTTTCATTCCCCAGGTGTTTATATACCACTGCTGCAGGCTATTAATTCTTGCATAGTCTCCCCACATTTGCCTAATGCTTGCTCACAGGGGGTTATCGGACGGTTTCTCTTTAATACTGCAGGGGTCTTTACCTTACAGTGTAAGGTACAGTGTCTGATTTGTTGGTATATAAATAAAAATGAATCACTTTGCTTGATCTGGCAGTGAAATATTTAGTGTTAATAAATAAAACTACCCAAAATATAGGTCAAATGAAATGCCCCTCTTAATGCATCAATAGCAATATTATAATATGATATACAATCAAGCATTGGTACTGACCAGTTTGTAGAGACAACAAATCTGTAGGTGTCTAAATACAACCATTAATGCAGAGAGTTCAATTAATTAAATGGGTCACATTGCCCACATGCTGCAATAAAACAAATCTCTCTGATCCAGCGTCAGGCTTTAGTCAGTTTGCGTGGAAACTGTCTAAAGCACCGTCCATTATTTCTCCGGGCTTAGTGTTTCTATTAAAGTTTGTGTTTCCCCGTGAGAGTCATAGGTTTTGTTAGAATTACATCACGTGACGGCCACCGCGCCATGTTTCCATCTCAGACTCAGGAAAACTTTTACAGCCAGAGGGACACGCTACAGAGCGAAATCAAGTCACCCAGAGGAGGCAATGTAGTTCCGATATATGCCTTCAAAATAAGTCCTCGGTTGTTGCAACGTGAGTTGGTAATTAGGATTGAGTCTATTATCCGGTGAATATATCATTTTCCATCTATAAAAAGATTATTTCGTTTATTTCCGAAGCCTCAGTAACAATATAACACTGCAAGGAACTGCTTTAGTTCTTTGACTATTTTATTTTGAAAGACAGCGCTACCGTTTCCGTTACATTTAGCTTGCTGTTTGCGTCAGTGTATGTAACAGGGAGAAAGAGTGGAGAAAAGCAACAGGAACAAAAGTTGTGGACCTGAGTGAACAGCTCTGCGGTGCTCACCCGTGAAATGTTGTAACCAGCTCTCCGTTTGCAACAGACAGCTAGCCGTGTGCTTTGGTAGACGACGGTGGCCTCACCTTGCATTGCGTTGCCAAAAGGCGGCTCTTGAAGCTTTTTTGGCACATCGCGGAGACTGGATGCGCTCGGGGACGGTTCTCTTTGGTTAACGTCAGCTAAGTTTTAACGCTAGTTAGTGGGGAAAGACGCCTCGTTTCTCGTAGAAAATGCCTTAGATGAATTAAATCCACGCAGTTTTAATACATTTTACCCTGTTTGTCCATCCGTACTCGACACGTTTTGGACTTGCTCTGAGGGAAGACGTCTCCTGACCCTTGGTGACAGCAGAGGTGAGTGATTGGATCCATGAAAACGCCCATGACCTGTAGTGCTCATCACTATGGTACGTTATTGTGAAGTTCGCTATCGGATTTAATTGTAAAAGGAGCCACTGAGAGAGAAAAGTTTGAAATAAAATGGGATAAAAAAAAAATCACAGTAATCTTGCAGTGAGTTGGCTGAGGGGTGGTGCAGCACTAAACAAAAATTCCCAAACTGCCGCAGTCATACCTAAGAGATAAAACATTAACTAAAACAAGACTATAATTGATTCACTGTTTAAAAGTCACTTGGTATATTTTGTAAGGATCGCGCTAGTCCCGTCAGATTATCCATATGCGTGCTTTTAAGCAGTTAACATGTGCACTTTGGTCCAGTCCACTTTGGGGCAAGCTAGAAAGTTCTGTACCACACTTGTGAGTCAAAGATATATATATATATATATATATATATATATATATATATCCATCCATCCTATTTTTTCATTTTATTTTTTTAAATCTTCTAAGTTGCTTTGGTCTGGTTGTCAGCACTACTCCACTTACAAAAAGAGGAACTGAAATTAAAGTAAAGATAGCTGCAAGACAGATGAGGCTGACTTTTCATTGAGTTTACAGTTGTTATTTTTGGGGTCTTGCATCATCCCTCAAGAACTGTAACTCACCAAGAACTGTAAGGGGGGGAAACTGCACATGAAGTCCTTTCATGGTAAAAAAGTAAGCTATTTTGGAAGGGAAAGTGGTTGAGTTTTAATGAAAGGATACCCTGAAGTGAAACAGACCACAGGCATAAGCGAGACAAAAAAAAAAGGGGTCTCAAAAGCTGCAGCATGACTCAGAAATGTAAACTAGTAAATTGAGATGACCAGCTGAAGTATTGACTGGAGCTTTTTTCTTTTGAGTTTCAAACTGAGACTTGAACAAAAAACATCTCTTCGGTCAGATTTCTTTGTTGTGTTGATGCTGATTTCAATATCTAGATTGCTTCCATGCCAAGGTTTAAGTCCACATTTTAATTGCCAGTTAAGGAGTTATTTAAAGATAAAGAAGAGCACAGCTTGGCATCCTAAGACATGGTTTAAAAAGCTTGTTTCCTCCTGAGACATCCTAGGTTGTCATGAGGTACCAGGTCTGAGACACTTGATCTGGCCATTTGTGGATTTTTGTCTTCTACTAAATGTCATATGAAAGCAATAGAGAACTAATTTGACAGTAAAAAATTTTGTTTTTGGAGGAACTGTGGAGTTTGAGTTTTCATTTTTATTCCTTACAGGTGCAGGAAGAGGGCTGCTGAGAGGCCTGGAAATTGATCACTATTTTACCTAATCTAGCACTGGATTAACTGGGCTGCAATGGCGTCACCCGGAGACGTCGCTGGGGGAGGAGCTAATGAAGAATTCAATGACAAAATCAAATCAAGATCTGGTATGTTTTGATATTTATGTCCATTGTTTGTGTTGGTATTTTGCAGCTGTCTCCAGTACTTAATGTTCCCTAACGTGAACAAATGAAGCAGAGCATGCAAGTCCAAAGGTTGTCAGAGCTTTCAGTGTTCTTTAACAGAATAAATGGCACGAGGCAACAGTTTGTTGTGCGTGAACATGTGCAGTCACTGTCAGAAAACCGTGACAGAGCCAGAAATCCTGTTGGTGTATGGTTAACCATACGTGGAGGCAGGGGAAGAGAGACACAGCACACAACACAGCGTAATGAGGACAGAGTGGGTTTGCAATCACACCTTTGCAAGGGGAAACAGAAAGGGAAAGTGTCCAGCAGCAGAAGAAGGGGAGGACAAGAATGTAGGGATGGTTTTAGAGAGAGACACACCCACTGATCACGTTCTCTGCAGATCGTTCCATTCCATAGGTTAATATTTCGTAGACACCGCCCTCAGAGGGAGAGACTCTTACAAACAAGTTGTTGTTCTAGTTAGAGGAGTGCTTTAGTTGGTCTAAATTAAGGTAATTGGAGGACAATGCCCTGATGTTGTGTACCCATCTTGATTTAGTCTATTCCTGGCTCTTTGAACAGTACATTTAGTTAGAACATGGCAAACTGGAAGAACAATATAAGCACACATTTTCCTATGTCAGAGGAGTCTAGAGTGACACTTTGCATTGTAAGTTTATCATTATACATCCCGCTAAAGAGGTTGTTAAAGGATGTCCCATTTTAAAATTGGTGCCCAGGTCAAATGGACTGACAAGATACAAAGAAAACTGGAGTGTAAGACAGAACAGAGGAAAGCAAGCTCATCACTCTTATATCAAACACTTTACCTGTACGAGTAACTATTACACAAACATTACATCAGCCAGCTATTATGATCAGCTGAGCAACAGTTGTTATTCCTGTTTAGATTTTTAAAAAATAATTTACAGATTTCAATATTTATCTGTCTGCACAGACAGAAGTTTAAAACACCCCCCCAGAATCAGTCTGCCAAAGAGTTCAATCTGGCCTACTATAGGGCTATGGAAAACATGGAAATTTCAAAGGAGAGTATAATATGTGGCTTTTTAACTGTATTTGGATCAGTTTTACAGGCCTCTTACTGACAATGATATAAAACATAAGCCTATCATATACTTAAAAATAAGACTTTTCTGCTTTAAACAGTAAAAAAAAAGTTTTTCTTTGAATTTGCACATGATTTATTATTATTTTTAAATTACAGGATAAAGTTGTTTATTTCTTACAGTGTAGTCTCAATGAGCCGTGTCAATAGGTTTCTTTGGTGTCTTTGTGATTTGGAAAAAGTGAGATGTAATAGTAAAATTGCAGGTTTCTTTTATAAAACATCTCAGGATTAAATGTGTAGTCAAACTGCTTTAGACTGACGGTAAGGGGAAAATGTTTTGGGTATTTTCAATAGGTTATTAGGCAGTAGCCTTACTGGTCTGGCCCTCTTAAAATGAAATTGGGCTTTATGTGGCTGTTGATATAAATGAGGTTGACCCCTGTTGTACTAAAAAAATTCAGTGTCAAAAATGGAATTAATAATATGAAGAAGTGGGGAAAAAACAGTGTCTTTCAATTGTTATTTTAACACACTGATATTGGTAATAGGATTACCCTGCTATATGTTAGGCTAAAGTGTTACTTGACCTATTTTAGGTCATTGGTAAGTAGGAGCTTCGGCCTTGGAATGTTTCTACTTTAATGTTCCTATAAAAAAGAACACATATAAATATATTTAAAGCCTGTGTTCTGGGTTTCACCATAGCCCTCCCCCCTTCTAACTCCCAATTCCTGCTGTAAACTTGTTAAATACAGTAAAAAGAGGCCAGTTCTCATGCCAGCTTTCCTCACCCACCCAGCCTCACAGCACTGGTGGATTCCATGCCAGGAATTCCACTGTGCCGATGGAGTTTGTAATTTATAATGCTTGTCTCCAGACCACAATGCTTTTCTCACAAAGATTCAGGTTTCCCTAGCAACCCTAAAAGTAATGTTTTCTTGTATGGCAACAAGGGAAAAATTTAGCACGTAGCATAGCTGCACAAAAAACGCAACTTAGAAAATACGGCCGCTCACATGTATGTCGAGGTAACCTAGGAGCCTCGGCACAAGTGGTTTTTATCTTCTCTTTGACGATGGAAATTTGTGGTGTGTGTTTGTAGTTGGTGGATAAATATGACAGAAATTAGCTGTTCTGTTTTAGAATTCAGAGAGTACGCGCTTGCTTTGAAACCAAGGCAAATCTGGGAAATGGCTTCAGGCTAAACGCTGATAAAATATCATGTGGTCTACCCCGATCACTATAAAGTCTTCTTTCTTTCACCATGTTATAAACTAGTGAGGCTGATTGTTAACAGTGATCCTTAGACACCCACCCAAAACTGAGTTTGTTTCATGTGGTTTCTGTCATCATGAGAAAAAGTCTACACAGAGCTGAAACATGGGGTATTAGAAGAGTGACAAGCAGGTGAGTGTGTGTGCGCCTGTGTGTGTGTGTGGTGAGCAGGTGGAGGGATGTTTTTGCAGCTGGGAAGACAAGCATTAGCACACTTGTTAATCTCCATGCCGGCCACCATGTGGGCATGTTTGAAAGGTTGGAGAATTCATAGCCAACAGCAGAGCGCGCGCTCAAACGGTAAACTCTGTTTTTTGTCACGCTTAGTGACTGTCACAAAGTTAGCGCCAGGCGTCCTGATCTTGCAGAGAGAGTGAGCACGTTCGTTATTGCAGCTGGCTCGTTTTCCATTTGGTGCTTGACTGAGATCTCACTGCAGTGTAGGTTGGAGCAGGGGTGTGTATGTGTGTTACCAAGTTTCCTATGAACTAGCTATATAGTCACTCCGTTTCACAGACAAATGCACATTAGTGTCTCTGGAGGGGCGAGGGGAGGTGGTTCAGTGTGTCAGGTTACTATCCAAGCTTACAGTGGATCAAGGAGGAAAGAAAACAGAGGAAATGGGGTGGAGGTTAAAGCTGACGGAGCAGGTAATGTATCTGCTAGGGATGCACTGATCGAACTTCTTCCATCTTAGAGTAAAATAACTTGAATATACAACAATGAATAGTTTACAGTAAGTGTATTTATTAGTAAAATAATAAATGACAGTGGGATCAAAATAATGAAACATATAATGGCTAGCACTTCATTTGGCACTGTTGTGTTTTCCCTTCCTGCAGCCCTGGGTTAGATTGTTACATATCCAGCTGCACCTGAGAGGTGGGAGTGACAGGAGTATATAAAACCAGCTCACTCACTCACTCACTCACTCAGACAGAGAGAGAGAGAATCCGGGAGGCTGCTTGCCAACGTGTAGTATTTTTGTTACATGCCTCTTTTTACAACATACTGCACCTACCTTCACAAGCATCCATGCTGGGCATTTCATCACTGATATGTGCGATTACTCATCTCATGTTTAAATATTTCTTTGTTAAATAAACTAATTGAACAAGCTAAGCCTTGTCTTTTTGTTGCCAATTTGTTGCCAAAGTTGGCAGCTAGTCGGTTTGTCATCAGTTACCGTGCTGTGTGTTTAAAACACCTACCACCAAATGCATGAAGACTACGGTCTAGTGTATGTAGTAAGTTTCTTTTGGTTAGGTAGCTAGTAAGGGAAGAGTGTGCCTTACTGCTGGGTGTTTCATACCAGTAATTGTTAACCTAGTGTTGTACAACAATTTTGTATCAATAACTGTTTTTTATTCTATCAGTTATATTCTGTGGTCCAGTCCCAGAAGTGTGTACAGTATATTTTACACTATTTTTGTGTGGACATGGCATCTGCACATGAGTTTTTTCAAACTCCCAGTGAACAGTTGTTAACTGCTTACAAAAAAAGAGCACTGGGAAGTGGCAGAGCATTTTGGCATTGATTGCTCTAGACTCTCCAAAAGGATGAAGTTTTTTCTATTTTAAAAGAAAAGCTTATTGAGAACGGTGTATTGATTGCAGAAGGTGGCCGCAAGGTAATTCCATCTGCGTTAACTTTTGAACAGCAGAAAGAGATGTTAATGTTGCAGCATCAACACACTTTGGAGTGTGAAGAAAAGAGAGGCAAAAGAGCAGGAAGTGGAATTGAAAAGGTTAAGATTACATGTTTGTCTGTATGAAGCTGATTTCCCGAAGGTTATAGAGAAAAGTTTAGAGTTTCCTGGAAACAGGAGAGCCAAACTTATGTGGCATTTGTTTGGGAGCTAACAACCTTGTTTAAAAAAATAAGCTCATATTTTTATGTTAACATGTTAATTTCATTTATTTTAATGTAATTATACTAGTGCAAAGTAATGTATTTGCATTGTATCATCTCAGTTCAGTGTGAAAGTCATTAGAAGACTGGATACCAGGATCAGGCTCAGTCATTGCAGAGGAGCCTACCTTGTGGTAATGCTATTCTTTTTCCATAATGTAAAGATGTATGGCTTAAACACATAGCTTAATTTGTGGAACTGGAGTTTAACTTGAAACTCCAGTTCTACAAATTCATCCTGGTTCCTTCTACTTAAAATCTCACTTGATTCTACTGCAGTCTTTACCCTCCCCTCCCCAACACAGCCGAGTTTCTCACAGACAAAAACACCCAGTGGAGGAAGATGAAATGGCATCTCTTGGATCTCCGCAGATGTGGTCATATTACACTCAGATTTAAAAATCAATCCAGCAGTAGTCAGAAATATCCTCCTCTTGTTTGTTCTCGTTAGATGACGATCATGATGGATCTCTTAGCCGCTATCCACATAAACACACACACACACCAACTTCAAAGTGCAGAGAAGTTTGGGTACCAACTTGTGCATGCCTGGAAACATCTGCGTTGCAAGTTTTGGTTATGTGTTGAGGTACGATGTGAAACCTAGTGCTTCACAGATTGAATTTATCACAAATCTCAGCACAATGACAACATAAATTTAACACATCAATGGGGAAATTGGCTAAAAGTCGCCTTGATTGGCGAGCTGTCATCGTT